GCCGCATAGACCCCTTGTTGTTTGTTTATAATAAAAATGCCGGAGTTTCTATTTGCGCCGGCCGCTCTAATTTTTATGACCGACGTTTTCATGACCCGGAGATATCTGGGTTTGTTTGGAAAGCTGCTAAAATTTTGTGTTATTGCTAGGCTCAGTTTATCTTTCCGGACGCCGATATAATTTTCGTTTGTTCTCCTATCGTCTGGAGTTTTAAGTTTCCAAACGATAGGAGACCCGTTCGAGTTATTTATTATAATGAAAAAAAAGGGTTCGCTATGCGTTGGCGCGTCGCGTCGCATGAAAAAGGCGACCGTGGAGTCTCCAGGACGTAACAAAAGATTACAATATAATTTGTGTTAAGTGATATGTCCCGTTGTCCACGACCTTGATGAAACAGATTTTGCGAAATAAGAATAACGCTAAGATTTTTATGATAACTGCCTTTAGTAAATAGATCGACAATCGTGGCGCACGATGAGGATTCTCTCATCAGATCATCAATTATTACTAATTTTGTACAGTAGGGATCATTGAAATAATCTTCTGTCCGAGGCAAGCTTTCGCGAAATTCAATTCTAGTTTTTTTCTTTTTTTCACAGTTATCATTGTACGAATCGACGTCGCTTTGCAGCCTACGATATGCTTCTTGCCATTCGGCATAATAAAACAAAATTTTCTCGAAATGCACATTAGCCATTACGGGTAAATACCTGAGCAACGTTTGTACAAAAATCGTTTTTCCGCAGCCTGTAGGTCCGCAGACGATAGATGTCCACGGATGTTTCCAACGTACATCCATATTAAAGAATGAACGATTTGTCTATATTCATCTGTACATAAAACTTTATCAAAGGGAAGCGAGGAGATAGTAATAAGGCTAACATCATTCTAGCGCAGAATTCGAATACATCGTATGCTCGAAATGACTGTACAGGATATATTATATACAGGGTCTTTCAGATTAAACGCTCACGCAACAAACATAAAAAACTCCTATAAAAATTTTTTTTTTGCTCCATCGATGGTAACACTGAATTTCCCAACTCGGGACGAAAATATTCGGCTACTGGGTAAGTCGGTGAAGTTTGTTTATAGTGTCAAAATGTACGATTTAACGGAACACGTATTTCTTGTGAAAACGTATTACTCGACTAATCATAACCTTGCTCAAACTCTGACCTCTTACGGTAAAAGTTTTAATGTTCATCGTCGAAAATTGCCCAAAAAAAGTGTAATCTTACGTCTCGTGAAGAAATTCGAACAAACCGGTAGCGTTCTCGATGATAGAGTTGGAAAATGTGGCGCGAAACGAACTGCGCGCACGCCGCAAAACATCGAGCAGTTGCAAGAGAGAGTCCGCGCCAATCCCCGCACCAGTCTGACTCGTTTAGCTCAGGAGATCGGGGTGTCGTCTTCGACCACGTACCGAATGATGACGGAAGATATCGACATGTTCCCCTACAAAATCCAGATGCTTCAAACGCTTTCCCCTCTCAACGAAGAGAAACGGCTCGCATTTGCAACAACCTTCGGCGCGTATCTCAGTCAGAAGCGCGGTAATCTTCCATACATATGGTTCAGCGACGAAGCACATTTCTGGCTAAACGGGTATGTCAACAAACAAAACTGCCGTATTTGGAGTACTGAAAATCCACACGAGTATGAAACGACCA